CAAGTGTTTGAGAACTGAAGGCTTTAGCAATCGACTTAACTGATTTTTTCTTTTCCAGTGAACTGAATGAACCAATCAATTTGTATGCCACTCTCTTCTAGATCAGCCCAAATTCCTTCTTCGGTAAAATGGATTGAACTTTTATTCTTCCGTAACATTCCGATTACTTTTAGGAAGTGACAGACAGACTACAGAAGCAAATGCAGTGTATTAAAATCATTTATAATATGTCCTTTTGCTATCCAGGCACTGTGTTATATAAAGACACCTATATAGTCATAAAAAATTATCTCCAGTTTCAAGATACAGTCACCTCATTAAAAGCATCACACTGAGTTATATTTCAAAAATGGATGCACAATGACCCAGCAGTCCCGATTCTAGGTATACACCCAAAAGAACTGAAAGTAGGAACTCAAACAGAAGCCTGTACTCAGTGTTGATTGCAGAATCATTCACAATAGCTAAAAGCTGGAAACAACCGAAATGTCCGTCAGCAGATGAATGGATCAACAAAATGCAGTACATACATACATGAAATAGTATTCGGCCATAAAAAGAAATGAAGTCCTGCTACATGCTACAACATGCATGGACCTTGAAAACGTTATACTGAGTGAAATAAGTCAGACACAAGGATAAACACTGAGCGATGCCATTTATGTGAAATAGGCAAATGTATACAGAACAAAGCTTAATAGCAGAAGCGGGGGGGAAGGGAAAATCGTTGCTTAGGGTCACTGAGTTTCTGTTAAGGGCGAGGGAATAATTTGGAAGAGGGTAGTGGTAAGGTTGCACAGCATGATGAACATGGTCACGTCACTGAACAGTACATGTACAAGTGATTGAGTTGGCAGATGTTTTGTTTATATATATTTTTACCACAATTGAAAAAAAAACGCAGACACACGGTAGTTTATTAAATTCCATTTAATCACATCTATCCTTAGGGGCACAGCCAGGAAATTCAAATTGAAAAAGCCTTGCCATCATTCCTTCACACCTGGTTTTCACCAAGGTCTACCTCCAAGTTGTAAATCATAGGCTGAAACCCACACGCGCATTTCAGGGGCTGAGGCAAACCCTCTGTTTTCCTTCCAGCCCAGCGCGTTCCCTGTGTATAAATGAAGGTAGATTACCACACCAGGTTATGAAGTCTATCGCTAGGAACCCATTCCCATTTTTAAGAAGGACTTTCCTCCACGGCGCTGCTAGGTGGGCTCGGGGTCCAGTAGCTGATACTTTGTACGCCAAGCCGAAACTGGTAACATCTGCAACAACCGCAACAAAATTCTTTGGTATTTTTTAAATTGATACTTCCGAACTCCAGTGGGGAAAATCAAAGACATTTTTTGTCACTATGGTTTCCATTCTCAACTCTAGGGGTAGGGGTGAGGTGTGTTAAATATTGAAGTGCTTAAACTTTATATTTGAATACATAAACAGCCTCCAGCAGCGGCCCTGCTGAGGCTGGACAGTGAGCTCACATGCTGCTCATCCGCAGAGTCAGCCCAGTGGGGGTCTGCGGGCGGCCCTTCCTGACTCCACGCTCCCCAGCTGTGCAACCTGGAGCTGGGGGCTCAGTTTAACCAGTTGCCGTCCAGCTGATTCTGACTCAGGGCGACCTCATGTGGTCAGAGTAGAACTGTGCTCCTGTGGTGAAATGAGGTCCTCTAGGTGGCCTCTAGCCTTGGTTCTCTGGAAATACAGTTTGAAAGACTTTCCCCCAAGCCCTGAGGAGGTACCTTTGCCCTAGTTTTCTACCCCAGAGGGTTTGTTACTTTTGTCCAGGTTGATTGACATTTCCTGGATAAGTTGTAAACAACGTATGGTTTTATACTTTTTGTCTGGTCATGGGCCCTGTGATTGGGACGCACCTTGCAGGGATTGGTCAATAGACCATGCAAATGAGGTGAGTTGTAACCCAGCCACACCAGCTATGCAAATGAAGCATCTGTGGCCTACCAAGGGAGTATTGGTCAGCTGATGGCCCCGGTGGAAGTGTCATGCCTTGAAATTGATGCGGCGTTTATGTCTATATGCAGCACCCTACAGAGGTTTTTCAGACAGAAAGAAGCAAGAAGAGAAGCAGCGGGAAGAAGCAGAAGGGAAAAAGCAGAAGCAGAGAGAGAGGAGGCAAAGCACCTCTTAAAAGAGCTGTAACACTGGTCAAGGGCTGTAACACTGAAGACAGTGAGAGGCCCACAAGGGGCCCAGTGGCAGAGCTGGTGGTGACAGACGGCAGGACCAACAGAAGCCTGTCCTCAGGGGGCTGAGAGGAGGCCTGAACTGTCAAGAGCTGCTGAGAAAGCTGTCCTGCCCTGAAGAAGGGAGACTCTGTCTACGTGCTTCCTTATCCTGATTCCTGAATTGTAGCCTGTTGATTCTGACTCCCAGGCTGTACCCCGTTCCTTACTAAACCACCTAACTATAAGGATGGTCTGTGAGTTCTGTGTGGCCATTGCAATGGATTATCGAACCCAGAAGAGAAGTAGAGAGTGCTGTGGGAGGGAGAGCTGGTGTCAGAATGTGTAAAAAGGTTAGAGAGTGGAGGTGTGATGGTTAAGATTGTGTGTCAGTTTGGCTGGGGCATGATTCTCAGTGTTTTAATGTAATCACTCCCATGATTGAATATACTGTGAGTAGCCAATCCGATGAAAGGGAGCCTCCTTGGGGGTGTGGCCCGAATCTGTATATAAGCAGATGTTCCAGCTTTTTGCTCTCTCTGGATCCAGCAGCTGCTTCCTGTCGTCTCATCTCCCGTTCTTGGGACTGGAGCTGTCAGCTTATCGGCCGAACCTGGGATTTGTCAATCTGCACAGCCTGTGAGCGGAAGCCCTGCTCTCCGACCTGCTGATCTTGGGCTTGCCAGCTTCTGCAGCTGTGTGACTTGGGAGGGGCCTCTACCCTGATCCACGGACTTGGGACGTTCTAGCCTCTACAATCACATGAGCTGTTTCCTTCATATAATCTCTCTATATATATATATTATACACTTTACTGGTTTTGCTTCTTTAGAGAACCCAGCCTAAGACAGGAGGTATGTCTGATCTCCACCTGATAGGGATCAGCCTTGGGCTGATCTTGATTCACATTGTCCCCCCTGAAGTTAGACAGATACTGACAGTACTACTACTGCTGCTATTACTACTGCTACTACCCCTCCACCATTTTACAGTTCCACAGGTTTTCAGTGGTTGACTTTTTGGCAGTAGATTGCCAGGACTTTCTTCTGAGGCATCTCTGGGTGAACTCAAACCTCCAATCTTTCGCTTTCAGTTCGCTTAGCAGCTGAGAGTGTTAACCATTTGTACCAGGAACTCTAGGCTTGGTTTCAAAAAAAAAAAGGCTCAGTTTACACACCTGTAAAATGGGGGAATCCCATCCTTACCTCAGTGTGCTGAGACATTAATAAAATACTGCACAAAACTGCTTCTAGCAGGCAATCAGTGAAGGTTAGCTGCTGCGGTTGTTACTTGTTTTATTATTATTAACTTATCCTGTGAGTGTAAGCTGAATGTTGCCTACTGCCTCGTGGAGAAAAGCCACCTCCTCACCATGCCCTTTATTCTCTCCTGTCACCCTGTCTTTGCACACACTGTGACCCTGCCTGTCACTCTCCTGTCACCCTGTCTGCACACACTGTGGCCCTGCCTGTCACTCTCACCCTGTCTGCACACACTGTGACCCTCCCTGTCACTCTTCTGTCACCCTGTCTTTGCACACACTGTGGCCCTGCCTGTCACTCTCCTGTCACCCTGTCTTTGCACACACTGTG